CATTTTATAAATTTGCATAGAATTTTGCATAAGATTCATTTTCCTCATCTCAAGTGCTACCTCTTCATCACGAGTTGTCACCATAATGGAATTCCTTCTTGTCCTCAAAATTCCGAAGAGACGATTGTTGAAAGCAATCCACTTGGATTTATCTTTGTTCCACACGTCATCAAGAATGAGAAGAAAAGTTTTCTTCTCTAATTTTTGTGCAAGATCTTCAACAAGTACATTGATGCTGCTTGGAACGACACCAACCTTTAAATGTTCATACATCTCTCTCACAATTGTTTGCTCATTAAAGTCTTCAGAGACACACACCCAGACTACTAGATCATAGTGTTCCTTGGCCATATTGTATATTGATCTTGCTACAGTTGTCTTTCCAAGGCCCCCCATGCCAACTATTCAAACACCAGAGATTGGATGTTTATTCCTCAAGTTATCCAACATGCTAACAATTTCTGAAATATCATCTCCCCTTCCAAAAACTTCTGAACAATCAAGAAGGGAGTCTGTCGGTGTAAATTGCCTAGCAGTTGGATGACATTGCTGGCATGCCTTTAGATTTAGTAGAAAAACGCGCTCTTTTAATCTATCAAAGTGCCCATTGATATCCTTTATTCTGTCACCTATATCAGAACCAATAGTGAAGCTGGGGGTACTGCTTTTCTTTTTCTTATCGCCGTTCTTCTTCCCACCTCGAGGCTTAAGCTGGTACTGAAGATGCTCATAATCGCACTCATCAAGTACATCCTCAGCATCATAAGCTACCTTTTGGAGATCTTGTAGCCAGAGCCTTATAGGGTCATCACTTTCTCTTCCCTGTTTTCCCTCTGCATCTTTAAGTACAGACTGGATCATCTTTAGTGAATCTTCAAGTTTCGTCAGCTCCATTACGGGATCAAAACGTGAACTCGAACTCGAAGCTGTCCACCATCCATAGGCACGTGAAATCAATTTGGAAATCAACGTCTCTATAATAGGAGCGAGGATGAGGCTGGTGACAAACTCAGGTATCATGCTTGGACACAGAAAATGATCGTGCTGAGACAGAGGAAAAACAGAATAGTGTTGTGAGAGCCAAGATGAGGAAATGAATTGTAGATGAAGATCCTGTTGGGAAGAACGGGATGTCACCTAAGCACAGGGGAAACAAAAACAACACCAAAATCTTCTTAAATCTATTTGAAATTGCTAGTAGCAAGCTAAATTGGGTACAAATAAATTATAGCAGCAGCTAAAAATATGCAGAACAGTAAAAATAACCAAGGCAAAGCAACCAAGAAACACAATATTTTTGTGTGAAAAATCCCAAAAATGGGTAAAAACCACAGGGAATCCACTACACAAAAACAGCTCTCCGCTATCCTCTTCCAGAAGGCCACAAAAACAGCACCAAATAAGAGGAACAATAGGTCACAAACCAGCAAAAGAAAAAGGGACCACAAGAAAAAAAGAAAACAGAGCACCAAAACACGAGTTACTATTTAGAACACAAAAACTGAACCTACAGAGTTTCAAACGCAAAACTGACCATTCAAAAGGTAGATGAATGTCTTGTGAACTCCCAGACAAAATTTCAGCCCAATCCAATGGTGAAATTTTACGGATCCGACAAAGTTGCAAAACTATACACTGTACTAAAATCTGCAGAATTTCTCTCCTGCTTTCTCCCCTTTCTGCCGGCTGGTCCGCAACGTGTGCTCTCCACTTTTTGCTATCCAAATCAGACTCTTTCTTTGTCTTAAAAGGCTGCAAAATGTGGCTTCAGGTGTACCTAACAAATGTGGGCTTAATTCAACAAATATTGACCATTTCTCCAACATAGGAGGAATAAGTCTAACCCAACAGATCTACACAAATTTTATTTGAGAACTTGCAGAAAAACTTAGGTATCAAATTATACTTTTTTTTTTTTTTTGTGTGATGTTCTTCAAATAATACATGTTACTAATTTTTTAGTTTTTTTAAACTGGTACAAATTTGATAAATAGAGAATTTAAATTTAGTACCTAAGGCTCGGGTATATCTAGCATTTCAAATTGAGGTATATTTTTTTAAGATTTATAGTTGATTCAATTGGCCTCTTATGTTAGTGCAATACATGTTACTAATTGATTGAATAGATAAAAAGAAAATCATATAGTTAAATAGACTAGTTTGGTTTGAGATAAAACAACAGAGAAGCTAGCCGGATCTTTGGAAGCATAAAGAAATCAGTGGAACTTGAAA